CGTGCTGGAGGCTTGGAATGGCAGCAACGATTTGGGTCTCACCATCGTTGCTCTGAGTAGGGAGCTCCTTCTTGTAAAGGTCACCCTCGAAACTGCCAGCCGCAAGCAGATCGGCGGCCAGGCCATGGAGGGGCTGTTGGGGAAGCTGCGGCACTTGGCGCACTGCGCCGAGGACTTACTGGACGAACTAGACTACTTCCGCATCCACGACGAGCTCCATGGCACATACGAGGCGGCCGACCACCATGCCAAGGGCGGTGTCCACGACCTTGTCCTCAATAGTCGTCACACCGTCAAGGCCGTTGGCAAACTGGCATTTGTATCCTCACGCTGCTGCTGGTCTGCTACCAGCCCTGCAGGTGATCAAGTAGAGGATGCAAGACAACAGGTTAGCTGTTCCGCTTGGCCGCGTGCTAGGAAGAGATCACACGGCAATTCCTCCTCAGCGTCAAATGCCAATCAGGAGATCAGCGGATGCATGCCCAAGCTCGGTAAACTCCTGCCTTGCTCATCTTCCCCAGATGTTCCTGATGATAATCCTGTCCAGTCAACTATTTTTGGTGCGCCACTGAGAGAGCATGCGGAAGAGACACCAATGCAGGAGTTTAACAGGGCTGTTATCTCAGAGAGAATGAAGTGCATTGTAGAGCAACTACAGCCCTTGCGTACAGAGTTCACCACTATTCTGCAGAGTTGTGGCCATAACACTGTTCCAGGCATTACCCATAGTCGTCCCCTCACCACTGCTCGAAGTATAGAGCCAAAATTGTATGGGAGGGATCAGATCGTGAAAAACATCATACATGATATAACCAAGGGTAAATGTCAGAACAAGGATCTAACTGTGCTTCCGATTGTCGGTTCGGGTGGGATAGGGAAAACAGCTCTGATACAACACATATATCATCATAAAGACGTCCGAAATCATTTTCAAGTACTGATCTGGGTATGTGTATCCCTCAGTTTCAATGTAAGTAAGCTGCTTGAAGATATTAAAAATGATATCCCTGAGGTTAAAGAGGAAAAAGGGGGTAAACCGGATGAGTTGATTGAACAAAGATTGAAATCTAAAAGGTTTTTGCTTGTATTGGATGATATATGGGGGATTAGTACTGAGGATGATTGGGAAAAGTTATTGCTGCCACTCAAAACATCAGAAGAAAAGGGCAACATGATTCTACTCACAACCCGGTTTCCAGCAGTAGCAAAGATGGTTGGAACAATTGACCATTCAATAAATTTGGAAGGTTTGGAACCTAACTATTTTAGGGAGTTATTCCATGCAATTGTCTTTGGTGATGACCAATGTAGACAAGATCACATTTTTTTGCTTGAGACCGGTGAAAAGATAATGGTAAAACTAAAGGGATCCCCGCTTGCAGCAAAAACTGTTGGTAGATTACTGAGAAAAGGCCTTAATTTACGTCATTGGAGAAAGGTATTAGAAAGTAAAGAGTGGGAGAGACAGACTGGTGAAAATGACATTATGACTGCCTTGAAGCTTAGCTATGACTATCTTCCTTTTGAACAACAACAATGTTTCTCATATTCTGCATTGTTTCCCGAAGATTACGGATATAGTGCCACCGAGCTAATCGACTTGTGGATAGGACTTGGTATTTTGCAACCTGATGGTCAGAACCCAACATTGGAAACTAAAGGTTTGAATAATTTAAATGATTTGGTCACACATGGATTTTTCAGAGAAGAAATTTTTTGTGGTCGTCTGCGTTATGTAATGCATGACCTACTACATGATTTAGCATTGAAGGTTGCATCAAATGAATGTCTTACTATGCATCATTCAACTGTGGGGCCTGTAGAAATTCATCCAAGCATACACCACTTGTCTATAATCGTAGATGGTAATGATACAGTGTCTCATGAAAACTTCAAGAGTCAACTGAGAAAACTGAAGACAAGATTGAAGGTTAAACAATTGCATACTTTGATGTTATTTGGAGTTATGGATGAAATCATGGCCAATATTTTGGGTGATTTGTTTAGGGAAGCAAGTGCTCTTCGTGTTCTCTGCTTGGTTAATATGTCGCCTTCTGTGGAGTCCATGTTACATAAATTTCCAACACTTATCCACCTACGATACCTACGTCTGGGAAAAAGGTACGGGACAGAGAGGCATTTACCACTTGCCATTTCTAGATTTTATCATTTGAGGATTCTGGATCTAAGATGGCAGTATGACTGTCGTGATTTGCTCAAAGACTTGAGCAACCTTGCAAAATTGTGTCGTTTTTATACCCCAACAGATGAGTTACATTCTGATATTTTTAATGTGGGAAAACTTAAACTCTTAGAAGAGTTGAAGAAATTTAGAGTCAATAAAGAAAGTGAAGGATTTGAACCAGAGCAACTAGAACATTTGACCGAACTAAGGGAGCTTGGCATCTATAACCTTGAGAATATACACACGAAAGAAGAAGCAGCCAAAGCAAAAGTGATAGAGAAAAACTACTTGGAGAGGTTAACATTGGATTGGGATAGTAACCGGTCTAATAGTGAGCCTGATGTGGAAGCAATGGTTCTTGAGAGCCTTCAACCACATAAATATCTTAAAGAATTGTGCATTAGAGGGCACAGAGGCCCTTTTTGTCCAACATGGTTGGGTGATGAGCCTGATGTTGAACTTCTACAATCTCTTCATCTCGATGATGTTTCATGGGAAAATCTTCCTTCTTTCGGGAAGATGTTGGATCTTCATACATTAATATTGAAACATATTGCCGCAATGAAGGAGTTTGTCATAGAGCGAAGCTTTTCTAGGCTGATAAGGCTTGAACTTGTTGGCTTGGAAAGTTTTGGAGAATGTGTACTATCACAGGATTCTCATCATATGTTTCCTCTTTTGCAAGAACTGATTATAAGGGACTGTCCTAATCTTTTGGAGCTGCCATTTTCAAACCACATTGCTTACCCACCAGATCAAGACTGGAACAGTGATTCGTTTGCCAAATTGCAAGTGCTTGAGATTCAAAACTGTCCAGAATTCTTGTTAGTGCATCGTATCCCGTGGACTGAAACTTTACATAGTGTCTTTATAATGGATGTAAAGCTACTACAAGACCTAGAATATACAAAGTACGACTCAAAATCATCCAAATTGGTGGTTACTGGGAAGGATGAACTGCGCAGCTTAGATCGGGTGTTAGCATTCAATAACCTGACAGGGCTCGAGTGTCTGGAACTTGACAAGTGCCCACCTCTAGAGTTGAAGCACATTGTGATGTTAAACTCAGTGAAGTATTTGGATGTAGTATCAGGTGATCTGGTTGGGCTATTAGGTCGTCAGAATGATTTTGAATGGCAGCTCCCTGTTGAGCATCTTGTGGTCAAGGACTTACGTGGTGCTAGTGGGAAGCAATTGACAGAGCTCCTCTGCCACCTCCCAAGGCTCTCCGAATTGTATATCAAAGAGTGTAAAAATATAACAAAACTTACAGTGGGGGTGGATCTGCAACAAACAATATCAGCAGCAAAATCAGAGGTTGAGCAGGAGAAAGAAGATGATGGGCTGGTGCTCTTCCCGGCCAATCTCTCTGACTCACTACAGCTGTTGGCCATCGGGGGATGCCCAGAACTGGTCCTGGTGGACCCTTCAAGTTTTATTCCTGAAAGAGGAGGAGAGTTCCCAGGCCTGCGATCCCTCGAGATGTTAGAAATTATTCACAACCCCAAGATACTATCTGGCGTCTCGTTTTCCTGCTGCTTTTCCCCGTCCTCTCTGCAAGAGCTCCGTCTCGAACATGTGGAAGACATGGGGACGCTGGAGCCCCTCTCAGACCTCACATCTCTCACCCGATTACAATTGTCGGATTGCGGAAAGGATCTAAGATGCAAGGGCTTGAGGCCTCTCCTTACCGCCGGGGGACAGCTCACATCATTAGAGGTCCGCGGCAGCCATAGATTCTTTGCTGGATGGGATCCTAATCATCCTAGTCAGGTGATGCAGGACGGAGGAAAAGAGCAGGAGCTGCAGCAACTGCAGCTAGTTTCCCCTCCGAGTTCATCCAAACTGCAGTTTCTCCATACAGATGAGGCCATGGGGCTCCTTGTTGTGCCCATCTGCAGCTTCCTGTCCTCCTCCCTCACCCACTTGCACCTTGATGGGATCTCCCAAGAGATGGAACGCTTCACCAAGGAGCAAGAGGACGCTCTCCACCTCCTAACCTTCCTCCAGCACCTCCAGTTTTATGGATTCATCAAGCTTCAGAGCCTCCCTTCAGTACTGCACAAGCTTACCAACCTCAAGCTATTAAGGGTTGTGGTATGTCCGGCCATCCGGTCATTGCCCGAGGATGGCCTCCCCAAATCACTCCAAGAATTAGATGTATACGCGTGCCGCAACGAGAATCTAAAACAGCAGTGCAGGGGGTTAGGGGGAACCATCCCAAAAATCAAGCTGTAAGAATTTGACTGACCCAAGGTACAGCTAACTTGTTTGTTCCCATCACTTTCCAGATCCCACCATTACCCTTGTTTTTTTCCTGCATTGTAATCGTCTGACCAGTGTTTGTTTCCATCTGCTATGCAGGCCTGTGCCTTGGAGACCCCCTCGTACATTCTTCTAGTCTTGTAGAGCTCAACTCTCGCCACACATGCACACTTGCCACATGGATGAGGGTCTTTGTGGCCATCTTCTTCCTTCCTCTACATAAATTTGGTAAGTACTCCCTCCGTTCCTAAATATAAGTCTTTGTAGAGACATACTGATGTATATAGACAAATTTTTGAGTGTAGATTCACTCATTTTCCTCTGTATGTAGTCCATGTTGAAATCTTTACAAATGACTTATATTTAGGAACGGAGGGAGTACATTTAAACTAGAACTTTCCTTACTCCGGCTGTACCATATCAATTATTTAAGATGTCTTCTCCACTCTCCTTGTCTTCTTACTCTCACTTTGAGAAAGATAATTACTTCTGGAAGTTTGCTTGTTTTTTCTTCCTAGATGAGAATCATGCAGTCTGTCATGTATTAACATTTGTTTTGGTTTTCTGTGTAGGTGTTCTTATGTTCGTTCTCATAGGTTTCTACGTACTTTTCAACTGCATTTGGGTTTTCATTACTCATCGAAGACTTGGTGGTCTACTTGGCTAGTTCGGGTGTGGAATTGAAATATCACCATGGCATAATTCAGGAATGAATTAATACTTCGGTGCTACACTACAAATATAATGGCCATCTTCTTCCTTCCTATTAATAAATATGGCAAGTACATTGAACTGAAACTTTACTCCTGATGTACCATATATCAATTATAACAACTTCCACTTATAATCGTGCTATATCATATATCCATTTTTCTTCCCAAGACAGTGAAAATGCTTCTCCTACGAAATCATATCTAATTGTTGTTTTTTCCATGCGCCTTGTCTTCTTACTCACAAGTATTATCGGTTAATGTCTCTTGAGTGTTCCTTTGTTTTTCAGGAAATCTGTTTGTATTCATCATTTGTTTTGGTTTTCTGTGCAGTTGTTCTCATGTTTGTTCCCGTAGCTTCCTACATATTTTCTATGTAATTTCGGTGGCCGTCACTCATCAAGATTCGGTGGTGTACAAACTGTACATGATTAGTTCAAGTGTCAAGATCAAATATCACCATGGAATGTTGTAGAATAAATCAGGCTTCGATGTTCTGCTCCTGAGGTTTGCCATTTTCTGACTCACTAAGTACTATTTAATGTGGCAAGTGACCTGATATTCACTCATACTGGTACAGAATTCCCTACTAGACCTTGAATATGCACTTTCAGTTATTTTATCCTAACATGTTCTTTGCTTAGCAGGTCTGCTTGTGATATGGATTTTATAGGAATCACATACTCTATTATGTTCCATCTTTAAGAGATATCAGGTGTATTTTCTGTTACAATTCAGTGATGATTTTTTTAGGATCCTGATATTTTGAATAAATATAATCAAATTATGCTCTTTCTTGAAAATAAGAATGAAGGTATGCTCTTGTGAGAGCTCGAACCATACATACAATAGTCACCAACAGACTTACGAAGCTGCACAAATGTCAACATAATATGGCATCATATGATTTTTATTTATTTTCACATATTAATTATCATGTTATGCTTCGCAGGTCTTATAAATATTCTCTTTTGGTAAAAATCACCATGCAGTCCTAGACATGATTTGCATTTCAGGTGATGAGGAAGTTACCGTTATTGCTTAGTAATAAGGTACTGAACTGACCAGAACTCCAGAACAGTCTACTCTACATACTTATTTTTCAGTTTTGGGCTACAACAGTTTTCAGTGTTCACTGTTTTTAATCCTTCCTATTTTAAATAGACATATAATGTCGGAAGTTCACGCCAGTTACGTTTTCATACTTAAGCATGTAGGTCATCCGTTCGGCCACATGAGAATGGTACCACCCAGTGGATGCAACTTCCTCTGTTCAGATATCAGGCTATCACCAAAAGGTATGTCCAGCATGTTTCTCCCTATGCATATGTATGGAAGGTCGTTGTGTAGCTGTATGGTGTTTCTGCAGGAATATGTACTCACTTATGGTTCCGAAGTTTCAGATTCAACAAAGATTCTTCTTTTGCTTGATAATTGTGGCCGGATGCAACTTCAGAACTACACAACGCAGCAGTAGAGTGAAGGTATGCCTCCTTTATGTGCTAAAATAGTGAATTGTTCAAGTTATAGTGGAAGTAATATGTTGCTTGCAATTTTCAGAACCTATTAATAATCAGAACTAGCTTACTATGTTGACCAGTGCATCTCGATACAAATTACATGGAAATTACCTTTGTTAAGTTTGCCACTGTTCTTACATCAATATAGTAAACACCGTTGGAAAAATAAAATTTGTTACCCAATCCTGGGCAGTATCTCAAGATCTCGAGCATTATTTTTGTAATCTTTATAACGATCTCAGCTATTGCCCTGTCAACACTTAACCAGGATGTCACCTGTGCCAAGAATTTAGTTGCTCCATGGTTGCTTATACGCGGATATTACGTGACCAGTGACTGATCAGTGAGTCCCTCACTCTTATTGCCCCTTTCCCCACTTCAATTAGTTACGTTGCTATTAGTAGAGCTAATCAATGCCAGTTATGGTGTTACTTCAGTTTTGTTGATCAATCTCCTTGGAAGCAAAAGGCTGGAATTGGCAAGAAAATGTGGTTGGTTCAGGTAGTCTTCTGACACTGCAACAGCCACACGGTTATGAACTGCAGGGTGCACACTCGTGAGTATACTTGGATCTTGATGTTTCTCTGAATTTCCCGACCTTGTGTGATATTATCCTTAATGACTTGTTCACCATTATGTTATCCCTAGGGCCTAGGCTGCGGTGATCGAAACCATCTTGAGCTTACACTGGTCAACTCATCGGTCAGAATTTGCCGCGGCGATTATCTAATCAGGCTAACCCTTTTTGCCTTCACATGGTGTGTGGTATACATACTATGATGCACTTTTCTGTTTGTATGGTATCTTCCCCGGGCGGAATTGTGGCAAGGCAAGTACTTGGAGTTTTTGGTTGGCCCCTTTGCCAGCACATGTGGAAGCTACTCGCAAAATGGCCAACGCTTCCTTGACAACCAGAGAAGTCCTGCTTGAAGTTGGCCAATGGTCTTCAGCGTCAGTACCGGAGAAATTACTTACCATGCCTCTCCATCTTTGAAGAATTCCAGACCTTCCATCACCGGTGCACTTAACTAACAATGGTCAACGCGCGGCCGCCCTAGTATCCCTTGCCGGATGTCTGCCGTCTGCTAGCCGGCGCACTGTACCGAAGAAATATAGGAATGAAATTACAAGAGCATTAATTCTGAATCCCCACACCCCCAAGTGTACCAGCCCATGATGGCCCGCCCATGTAGACGAGTCGTATCATGTTCACAGCCCAGCAACTGAATTGCTGTATTGGATGCCATATTGACGCCCCTAAAAAAATTCCCTATTGACCGGAAAATCCCTTGTGCATGGATCTCGGCACCATAGCCCACGCTCAGGATAACGGGCTACCTGTCGCCCGAGCACCAAAACGCCGCTCTCGATCATTAGCCACTAAACTATATAATAACCCCTAAAAAAACTAAACTATATAATAACAGTATTGTACACCATTTCATCTTTCTTACTGAATAAATTAAATAAAACCACAGTGTATAGCCATACGAAAGAATTCAGTTCTATTGATCTAAAACCAGATCCATCCAAGGCCACACAGCTGGTAATTTAAGCTATACCTATTCAGACTACAATGTACACTAGTTGACATAATTTTTGAAATATGTTTGTGACATATATAGCATTTTTTAAATGTTTGTAACACTTAAAAAATGTTCACAAATTGAAAAATACATGAAAAAATAAAAAATTGTTTGCGCAATTTAAAAATAATGTTAATAACATGTACCCTAAATGGGAGGATAATTTTTTTTATGAATTTGAAAAAGAAGAAAAATAGAAGAATAAATAAATAAATAAAACGAAAAACACATGAAAAAGGAAAACGAAAAGCCCGGCCAGAACCTTCCCAAAACCAACGGAAGGTTCCCAAAACCGGGAGCAACTAATTAACGAGCGCTCCTTCGGGAGCCTCGCAACGATCAGCGCCACGTGTCACGCTCTGGGAGCTCCCTCCGGATTTTTTTTTTATTTTTCCGCACGCGTTTTTGGCTTTTTAAACGGTTTTTTTTGGGTTTTTTCGACGTTGTGGTTTTCCACCGGTCTTCCCTAGCTTTTAGACCCAAATTTTTTTTGAAAAAAAAATTGCGCAAAAAAAACCCATTTTTTTCGCAAGAGTCACGGTTTTGTTTTCGCGAGAGGCACGGCCATGCCTCTTGGAAACGGAAAAAAAACGCGTTTTCTGTTTTTTTTTCCTTTTGCGAGAGGCACGGTTTTGCTTCCGCAAGAGGCACGGTTGTGCTTTCGCGAGAGTCACGGCCGTGCCTCTTGGAAACGAAAAAAAACACTTTTTCTGTTTTTTTTCTTTCGCGAGAGGCACGGTTTTGCTTCCGCGAGAGTCACGGCCGTGCCTCTTGGAAACGAAAAAAACACTTTTTCTATTTTTTTTCTTTCGCGAGAGGCACGGTTTTGCTTCCGCGAGAGGCACGGTTGTGCTTTCGCAAGAGTCACGGCCGTACCTCCTCGGAAACGAAAAAAACACATTTTTTATTTTTTTTCTTTCGGGAGAGGCACGGTTTTGCTTCCGGGAGAGGCACGGTTGTGATTTCGTCAGAGGCACGGGTGTGCCTCTTTCGGAAAGGGAAAAAACCCGTGCTCCCGGTTTGGTTTTTTCGTCCGGTTTTTTTCGTGAAAAAAAAGTTCGTCAAAATCTATCAACATGGGATCAGTTTTGAAGATCTCGATGCGAGGAATCCAACGGCGAAAGGGGTTCGAGATTTGAGCGCACAGTTTAAAAGAT